AACTATAGGAATCTATAGGAGTCCTAGGGAGTCCCCGGAATTCCCCGGATTCCCCCGGCATCCGCCCGAACCCCCCTGGGGAGTCAAGATGCTCTCTTTTGACCCCACTGGAAACCTATCAGATTTCGCTGTTCGGTAAAAGCACGGCCGAGATCAGGAACCCGCTCAAGGAGCGCCTGTAAATGCTGAAAGCTAACGAGTTTTAGAAGAAGCACATTGGGATCGCGCCGACGCCCGACCTGGCCAAGAGGGCCAAGTCATTGGTGGTGTAGGCGGCCATCAACGAGACGAAATTATCGGGGCCCGATCTGGCTTCGCAGAGCTCGGGTATCCGGAGACAGACAATGACCTACATAGTTTTCGGGGCTGGCTATGTCACGGGATGCGTGCCCGTGGTGTTTCTGGACGTAGAACTCTCAGATCAGCGTGGTCAAAAGCTGGTGGAACCTCAATATCTGGCGGCGCTCCGCATGGGCCGAAGCGCAACAAGGCGCGTCCATTACCATACACATGTTAGAAACATTTGCCCAGCTTGACGACGTGAGCCTCCCAGCTTTGGGAGATCAGGCGCCGCCTACTGCCACCCTGTCAAAGCCAGCACTGCGGTGACTGCGGTGGCTGGGCATCGTGGCCCTGTCTCGGGCCCGCGGGCGGCGACGCGGCCTAAGATAGAGGCCATTGCCATGCTCAGCATCAGAGCAAAGACTCTAGGATGCGATGTTAGCTAGCGCGGGCCCCAACCGGTGTGATCTGGCATACTGCGCACGCGGAAAAAATAGCCCCTAAATGCCAGCACTGTCTGGGGCACTAAGGTAACAAGAACATTCGCGTTGTCCACGACGACCATGCCCTACGATATGATTCGGGCCGCATTCGCACCATCAGCAATGCCCAGTTCGCAGTGTTCGCGGTGTCTGCTGATACAGACGCTGTGCCGATGCAGCCGCACGCGTGCCCTGGAACAGCCATGTCTGCAGCCGCCTTGCTTAAATAACGTCTTTCAATTCCTCGCCCATGCCCCCTCTAATCGAATGCACATTCCCACTCTTTCCGATTTCCTCCTGTCGTAGGCGGCCAGCCGCGGAGAGGAGACCCAAGTGCGGCTCCACTCACGGGAAGGAGGGTCAGGCAGGAGGACGGTCTGGAGGGGACGGTCCACGTGAATTCCTGAACAAGATGCGGCATGGGTAACTACCCGCAGTTTGCTGCGACCAGTGGCGTACGGATCTGAGACCGCGGGTGCAAGAACACCAATTGCGGACGACGATCCGTCTTCACTGCCCCCTCTTCTATTCTTGTCCTTGTCGTCATCCTCGTCGTCTTCACCTCTGAAGGCGTGGCCGATTAGTACATCTTAATTTCGGCGAGTCGTTCATCAGCAGGCCTTCATTAGCAGTGGCGCGGGGTTTGCGGCACAAGGGCTGTGCCGACCAAGCGACATGTATAAGAGCCATCTCCTCTTTCCCCCCTCCATCTCTGAGCCTGTCATACACCTGCCCTCCCCCTCCCTCACGTCATTCTTGTGAGATGTTTCACTGGCAATGCTTGTACGATCATCGCCTGTACCACCGCCGGCTAGCTCTAGGGCTTCCCAAGGTCACTGCTTGAGTTCATTTATCGCGGGACTCCAGTGCCTGGAGTGGGCGAAGCGTTGGAAGCCCCCTAAGGGACACTACCGCCAGGGCCAGACAGCGAGCATCTCCATCGAAGCAGCCTGTTCCCCTGTTCACAAGTCCCACCAGCCCTTTGGGCGTGAGTGGTTTAGGGAGCTCTCTCTGTCCTCAACCCCCCTTCTTCCCCTTCGGGGAGGGGTTTACCCCTCCCCCTACCCCCTCCCCCTGGACCTGGAGAGGGAGTTCCGCGGGTCGTCAGGGGGGTCTTTTTCGACGTCTGGGAGGGCCAAAAAACGACGACCCTCACGAGGATTCTGGCCCCGAGGGGGGGGGGAGTTTGGTGCCTCAGCTCGTCTTTGAAGCACAAATCATTGATTTTACTAGGGTTTTGGGCCCATTTTGGGCTTCTGAGGGGGCAGCGCTCATCGTCCTTCATAGCAAAATCATTGATTTTACGAAGGTTTTGGGCTCATTTTGTCCTTCTCAGGGGGCAGCGCTCATTTGCGCTTCTGAGGAGGTCGCAAGAGGCCCCAAGATGGCCCCAAGAGGCCCCCAAGAGGCCCCCAAGAGGCCCCCCAAGAGGCCCCCAAGAGGCCCCCAAGAGGCCCCCAAGAGGCCCCAAGAGGCCCCAAGAGGCCCCCAAGAGGCCCCCAAGAGGCCCCCAAGAGGCCCCCAAGAAGAGGCCCCAAGAGGCTCCAAGAGGCCCCCAAGAGGCCCCACGAGGAGCCCGAACGACTCACACCAGGACGAGGGGCCCGAACGACTCACACCACGAAGAGCCCGAACGACTCACACCACAAGGAGGGGCCCGAACGACTCACACCAGGACGAGGCGCCCGAACGACTCACACACGAGGAGCCCGAACGACTCACACCACGACGCGGGCCCCGAACGACTCACACCACGAGGAGCCCGAACGAGTCACACCAGGAGGAGGGGCCCGAACGACTCACACCAGGACGAGGGGCCCGAACAACTCACACCACGAGAAGCCCGAACGACTCACACCAGGACGAAGAGCCCGAACGACTCACACCACGAAGAGCCCGAACGACTCACACCAGGAAGAAGGGCCCGAACGACTCACACCAGGACGAGAAACCCCAAACGACTCAAACCACGAGGAGCGCTTTCTCTCCCTCCTCCTCCGCCTCGTCCTTCTCCCGCTCCCCCCACAAGGAGGATGTACAAGGAGGCGGGAGGAAGGAGGAACAGGGGAGATATGCGGGGCCAAGCGGACACACGCCTGAAAAACACGACTGTCGGCATGCTTCGCAAGAGTTGCTGCTGTGAGATGGGCTGGTGGGGATACGCGAAGCGTAAAGATTTTTTCCACTTCCCATCCCATGCGGGGACCA